CGGCTCAACATAACACCATGGCTTTACTTCTTATACTGCGTTTTTATACTTTTCTGCTGGATGGTTAAGACCAAGGTAAAGCAGGACCTATGCAACCAGAGTTGTAACTTTTGGGTCTGATATGGTCAGTGAAATCCCCTCAGGATTGATCCTGAGATCCTGTACCTCAGATTGTAGATCCTTTGTCAGTGTCAGCCATGTGGATGAGTCACGGCCATTGCTTGGCCAATGTGCTCTCTGTGAAAGCCTGAGAGAATTCTTTCTCTCCATGTGACTCTCCTTAGGCACACTCTACATCATTGATCACTTTCCTCTTTGGCCCCATAATCTCCTTGATCAGAAAATTGGGGACACTACCGAGTTACATGACATTACAGTACAAGTTCTCATATGTCCTGAGTCTTAAAGGTTGCTTTCTTTTACAACTTGAAATACTTGACTCCAAGCTCCCCTTGAATTTAGCACTTGTGCTGAGAAGTGAGCTGTGATTCTGATGGGTTTTCCTCTATAGGTGATTTGTTTCTTTTCCCTAGCAGGTTTTACAATTTGATGCTTGTGTTTAATTTCTGAAATCTTTTAATTATTTATTCACATTATTTCGAACAAGGTCTCACTACACAGCTTGGACTCACAGTGATCCTTGGGTCTCAGCCTCCCTAGCGCTGGGATTACAGGCACGCACCACCATGCCCAGTTTCAGTAGCTGGCGCAGCATGGGGCCAGCATGGGGCCAGCATGGCATGCAGTACTGAGGACCAAATTCAGGTCCTTGTCTTTGCCAGGCAGGTGCTTAAACTGCTGAGCTATCTCCCAATCATATTTCTGGAATCTTGACTATGACATGCCCAGCTGTAAAAATTTGTGTGTGTGTGTGTGTGTGTGCGTGTGTGTCTAAATAGTCCTATATGTCTCACTTAACTATATGTCAAATTCTTTTTTCTACCAGGGAAATTTTCAGCCATGATGGGTATGATCAGGTTTTTAAGATATCATTTGTGCTATCTTCTGCTTTTTTACTGATTCCAATGAATCTTAAGGTTTTTCTTCATCGCCTCATCTAGCAGCTGCTGTATTCATTGCTCAAAGTTCCCTGCTATTTTAAAGAAATCTTTCATAATCAATAAGTACAAGCTTGTTTTCTATATCTGTGATCCTGTACTCACAATGGCTTGATCTACTGCTGATATTTTCAAATGAATTTTCATTCCCCTAGATATCTACTAGAATCTATGTATTCTATTTGTTTGCTATGCTGAGCATTCAGGGTTTCCATAATTTTCTTAAACTCCTCTATTTTTGTCTGTATCTGCTCTAGCATCACTAAGCATTGTTTTCACTGTGGACACCACCTCTGCAGTTACCTGAGAAATTATATATTTGATTTTTTTTTTTAGAAAGCCTCATTCAATTGATTTCTTGTTACTTCTTCCGAGAAGCCAGGTGGGTAGCATTTGGCATGTCCCACCTCACTGGATTTGCCTTTGGTGAACTGTATGTCTGGATTTGCATCTTGGTTAAGTGTCTTCTCATTTTCTTTTAATTCCTGGGGTGATGCTTGTAAATTATCTATGGTGGGTTGCTTTATTGTTAGTATTTAGAACACTCAGGAAATGACTACTTCTCTGTGGTATCTTCCAGGTGTGGCTGGTTTTGGGTTTTAAGTCTGTTGCAAGATCCTACTTCTTCAATTTGTTGGGGATGAAAAGCTGATGCCTGTTTGGCCCAGTCCGTGGTTCTCTGGCATTATACCACACAGCATTTTCTGTGAGCCTTAGTCAATCTCAATCTTGGAATACCAGGAAGAACAGCTGTGTAGAACAATTATGTGATTTTTGGCTATAGTGGTACTATTAGCCATGTCAATAGCATCAAACACAGCCTAGAAAATGACAAACTGAGTGACCCCTTAATTTGCACCTTTAACCATATGAACTAGATTTGTGGTCACATAACAAGTCTTAAAACAAACCACAAAATATGCAGCGTACAAGTCCTTAATATATCAATTTTGCCCTCAGGGGTTAAAATTTATGATGGGTTATGGAGAAGTGAAAGAAGAAAAAGAGATTAGAAATAAGGCTGGAGAGCAAAGGGAGGTCACAATAACTTTGGGAAACCTTGCAGAAGACTACAGGGAGAGAAGGAAGAGATAAAAAAGAAGAATGGAACAGAACTGCAAGCACAAAGAAGCTAGAACTCATATTCACATTAATATAAAAATAAGATCAAACAATGAAAAAGAAAAAAAAACTACAAAAACGAGAGGCAGAGAGAGCCAGACACAGTGAGAAAGAGAGGAAGAGGAGGAAAAGAAGAAAAGGAAAAGGGAGGAGGGGGAGGCGAGAGGGAGGAGGAGAAAGAAGAAAGAAGAGGAGGAGGAGGTTTACTTCCATGTTTGACTCTGCTGTCACTCACTGGTAGACAATGTGTGGAGACACAAGAGAAGGAGGAGGAAGAAGGAAGGAGGAGGAAGTGGAAGGGAGGAGGAGGAAGAGGAGCGAGGAGGAAGAGGAGGGGGAAGAGGAAGAAGGGGGGAGGAGAGGGAAGAGGAGGAAGGAGGGGGAGAAGGAGGAAGGGGAAGAGGGAGGAAGGGGAAGGGGAGAGGAAGGCGAAGGGGAGAGGGAGGAAGAGGAGGAGGAAGAAGGAAAGATGGAAGGAAAGACAGACAAACCACTTCCATGTTTGTCTCTGCTGTCACTCACTGGTAGACAACATGTGCAGACACAGTCCCAGTCCATGTTGATGTATTTCAGCAAGCCAGCAATAGTTTTTTGGCAGGGTAATGGTTAATTTCAGCAAGCCTGCTCCTTCTGGCCAAGATCAGACTCATTTGGCCTGCAGCCATCAGCATACCTTCATGGACCTGAGCCCAGCTGGGAGCTACTAGATGTAGCCAGTGGCAACTCTGAGTTCTGAGTTCAGCCCTCTCCAAGGTGGCTACCAGCCAATCACTCTCCCATCTGTGACAACTGAGCCCTCAGCAGTTACTGCCAGCTAGTACAGTCCTTCACATCTGCTAATTCCCTGCACTGCTGTGTCTCTCCATTGAGGCCTCTGGGTTTGTCAGCTACCACCATATGCCCACAGGTCTGAAATGCTCCTCTCACATAGTAAGTCCTCTCTCAGAAAGAAGGCACTACTGACTACCACATTCTTCATTGAAGTTTCTCTCTTCACTCTCTCTGTGGGCTTCAATTCATACTTCAGATTCTTCCTGGGTCCAGAGGACCCACTATTCTCCTTCTTGTCTTCATCACAATGCTATATTCCAGCATCTAGATGGCAACTTTCAAAGAAACTCTTTCTGTGTTGCTTATCACTCCACCATCGTGATGCTCCCTGTTTTCTGGTTTTCTTTTTTTAAACTGGGTGTCATTATGTAGCCCAGGTTGGCCTTGAATTTGCAATAATCCTCTTGCTTCTCTCTTCTGAGTGCTGGGATTATAACTGTGCATCACCACACCCAGCTACAGTACTATCTACAATTTTTTTTTCTTTTTTAATTTATGTATTTGGTACAGGGTCTCACTACACAGCCTAGATTCGTAGTGATCCTCCTGTTTTTCACTTCCCTAGAGCTGGGCTTACAGGTGTGCACCACCACACCCGGACTCATTTGCCAGCTCAGCACGCCCTGGGGGACAGGGCCAGTGCGGCATTCAAACCCTGGTCTCTGTGCTTGCCAAAACAGGCACTTAGTCTGCTGAGCTCTCTCACCTGCCCTACTATCTACCATTTTAAATACACAGAGATCTTCAGAGATGGAAGTAGCTTTAAAACATCAGTAGGAAAAACAAACCAAAAAAAAAAGCAAATTCTTCATTACATATGTAAGGATAGTCACAGAAACAAAAAGGCAAGATAAACAAGTAAAAATTGACAGTTTTAGTATGTGGTCAGCATTACATATTTGATGCCCAATGTTTTATATATACTCACATTTAATCCTTAAAACAAATTTGTGAGATACAGACTCTTCCTTCCCATTCACCACATATTCACTGGATGCAAGGTATGCGTCCCTGAACTAACTGAGGCCTGGGTAAAGAGCAATGGACAAAAAAAAAAAAAAAAAAAACTAAATCCTGGCTTCTTGAAAATTATATCCTACTTTACTGTCTTTAAATGTGGTAAAGTAATTTTTCTGTGAGTCAGACCTAGCAGGGAATAAAATTCAAATTTAAATATATCAGATCAAACTATGACTCTGGCACATATAACTGCTATTCAATAAATGGGTAAAACTGGGCTGGGGAGATAGCTCAGCAGTCTAAGCACCTGCCTGGCAAGTGCAAGAATCTGAGTTAGATCCCAGGTACCGCAGGCCATGCTGGCTCCACTACCCCAGATGTGCCATGTTGGCTGGGTGTGGTGGCACATGCCTATAATCCCAGCACTAAGGAGGCTGAGACAGGAAGGTCAGTACAAGTCTAAACTGTATCAAATAAATAAATAAATAAATAAATACACACACACACACACACACACACACACACACAGAGAGAGATGGTGAAAACTGTTACATTTATCTAAGTTCCTCAGTTATTTTCTCTTATTTCATTTTTTGAGGCAGAAACAGTCTTTATTGGGCTCAGACCAGGGGCCCATGGGTCTTGGGGACCTTTGTCAACTTGCTGATTTTCTTCTCCATGCTCTTTTCAGTCTGTCCATAATCTCACGATCTGCTTCTTCTTCCTCTAATGGACCTTGGCCTTCTTCTTCTCCTCCAGGGTGGCTGTCACAGCCTGGTACTTCCAGCCAATCTCATGAGCCAGACAGCCCAGGTAAGCAAACTTTCTCATTGGCTTCTGGAGCACAACCTTGCGGGCAGCAGGAACCACCATCTGTTTTTTCTTGTCGTAGGGTGGTGGAATCTCATCAAACACCTTGAGGCAGTCCAGGGCATCCTTGTCTCACTTGGTCTTGCGGGGAAGCATCCCTGGGGACAGAGAAGTGGAGGCTCCTGAGGGGCTCGCAGGATGTCTACCTCCTCCAGCTCAGCAGCCTCACATAACAGTGAATGTGGACTCTTCTCATGGTCAGGAAACTTGAACACAAGTAGGAGACGATCTCATCACTGGCCTTCCTCAGTTTTAAAGAATGCTTTTTGAAAGGCCAGGTGTGATGACCTATACCTGTGATCTCAGCACTCAGGAGGCTGAGGCCATCCTGGGCTACAAAGGAAGTTGTGAAGCCCCACCTGGATTACACAGTGAGATGCTGTCTCAATAGCAAAACAAATATAAGAATGGTTTTTTGAGAAATATGACTTTTTTTTATACTATCACCCTCACTGTATGAAATGACTTGTAATACTTTTCCTTCCAATCACTTCGGAAAGCTTAAAACAAAATAATAACCGATCTAAAAAAAGAGTCTGAAGAAAGAGACAAAGGTTTGTGCCATCAATCATATAAAAATGTCACACACAGTTAGGGACAGTACATAATACCTAATAATGGTATATTACTGATTCACATATAAACCATACTACATTTTTAATTGTTAGTTTAGAATGTGCTTTTTATTTACAAAAAAGTTTACTGTAAAATAGCATGCTGAGTTATGACAGCAGCCTCACACGTCCTGTGTTTACTGCATCTTGAATGCAACAAGAGGTCATATTGCTACTAATTACTTGTTGAGAATTTTAAGATCAACATTCATAAGGGATATTAGTCTACAGCTTTCTGATAGGGCCTTTTCACTTTCAGCATCAAGGTAATGCTGGCCTCTTGGGCTGAGTTGGGAAATTCTCCTTACTCTTTGGAAAAGAATGAGGAGGCTGGGCACTAGTTCTTCTGCTGTTCAGCAGTCAACAAGGAAGCCACGGGTCCCAGATTTCTCTTTGCTAGAGATTTCTGATAGTCACTCCATCTCCTACACAAGTTATAAATTATTCAGATTTTGTACATCTTCAGGATTCAGCTCTAATAACTTCTGTGTTCCTAGGAATCTGCCTATTTGATCTATGTAATCCCATTTGTTTGTATACAATTATTTGTAGTACTTTTTTATTTTGTATCAATGTTCATAGCAGCATTACTCATGACAGCTGCAATGTGGAACCAATTCAAGTGTCTTATCAGTGGTTGAATGGGTATGTAAAATATGGTATACATAGTCAAGTTACACCCAGCCTAAGGATGTTTTGGTCAATAACTGGCTGCATGTGCCACAGTGTTCCTATCAGATTATAATGAACCTGAAATATTCTGATGCTTAGTGGTGCTCTAGCTTTTGTAACAGCTGGTAATGCATGCTTTACTCACACACTTGTGGTGATGGTAGATAAACAAATCTACTGTGCCATCAATCATATAAAAATGTAGCACATAGTTAGGGACAGTACATAATATCTGACAATGGTATGTTACTGGTTCACATATAAACTATACTATTTTTTAATTGTTAGTTTAGAATGTTTTTATTTATTAAAAAAATTCTGTAAAACAGGATGCTGAGTTATTATAAGAGCAGCTTCACACATCCTATGTTTACTGCATCTTGAGTGCATCAAGAGGTCATATTGTGACTATATGTCACCCATGTTCGTGAGAGTACTTTATGATGTTCAGACAATGGCAAAATCACCCAACAATTTGTCAGAGCAGATCCTCCTTGACTGCTTCATACCTACACATACAATGGTATGTTATATAGCATTCTGAAGGAGGGGGAAGGCGGGGGATTCTGTTTCATTACACTACAATGTGGACAGAGCCTTGAGGACATGATGCTAGGTGAAAAAAGCCAGTCATCAAAGGAAAAGTACCATAAGATACAACATGCAGTTCTTAGAAATAAGCTGGTTGCCAGAACTAGAAAGGGAGTAGTTACTGTTTAGCTAGTGTAACTCAGTTTTACAGGATGAAAGAGTTCTGGAAATCAATGGTAGTTAGGGCTGTACAACATTAAGAATGTACTGGGGGGGGGGGAGATAGCTCAGTGGAGTAAGTGCTTCCCTGGCAAGCACAAAGGCCTGAGTTCAATCCCTGGTTCCACCAAAAAAAAAGAATGTACTAGGGTTAAGATGGTGAACTATATGTATGTGAATTTTGCCACAGTGAAAAAAATGACAATATACTGAGGGAAAGGGGGCACTGGTGAAACACCTCCTCACAAAGATGACATGGCTCATTTGTTTTCCTCCTTGCACACCCACTTAACATGCAAACAGACACATTGCTACTGTTACTCTCCTTTTAATCAGTTCTGTAGTTTGTGAACCCTGATTGGACCCTTAGTGTGGTGGGCCTCACAAGCTGGCAGCTTTCACCTGTAGATAAATGGGCAGTAGCCTGTGGTGCAGAAAGAGCTCCTCCAACCCTGGACCTGTTGATCTCTTCAATGGTGCCACGTGACTACCTAGGAGAGTCCCCAGCCTCACAGATGGAGTGTAACCCTACAACTGGCAGCCTTCAGCAAACATGTGGAAAGGGGCATACAAAAGAACATAAGGGGGCTGGCGAGATAGCTAAGCAGTCTAAAGCACCAGTGTAGGCATAGTGCAGGAATCGTGGTTCAATCCCCAACACCACATTCAGTGCCAGCCTGGCTCCCAGAGTGGGCTAGGCCTGCCACCAAAAAAAAAGAACATAAGGTAGGCACCATAGCTCCTGATCTAGTAGGTAAGCTTTGGCCTACTGGTTTACAGTGTATTTATTTTTAATATTCCTCTCCAAATCTAGAGTCCCACTGACTCAGTTTCTCTAGACAATCTAACATCTAACTCATGCAAAGATGAGAGAAGGGTTCTGAATCACTCTAGTAGGGATGAGTGCTATCCCAGAAAAATACAATAATAATTCTCACATGACATGTATGTAAGTTTAAATTTCCTAGCATCCTCATGGAAAAACCTAAAAAAAGCTGAAAGTAATTTTCATGTATTTGGCTGGCCCAGAGGATCCAGATGTTATTTCAATATGTTATGATATAAAAATTGCTGTGAAGGTATTTCATTTTTTCATACATAAGACTTCCAAGTCTAGTACATACTTTCAACTTGCAACACATCTCCACCAGGGCCAGCCATATTTCAAGGGATTAATAGTCACATGTAGCTAGTGGCAATCATAGACAGCTGTGCAATAATACCAAAATTCCAACATCTCAACAAATGTTTACTTTGTCTCATGTAATATACCCAGTGTGGTCAGGCAGGGTCTATATCTTCAGTCCATCAAGAACCCAGGATGACCATCTTTTCCTGTACCAAATGGATCACCAGATATGATCCATATGATACAGGAGTCACCAGAGAAGCCTCACAAATTTTCATTATGCCAACCCAGAAGCAACCCAACTCCCCTGCAAAGTCCAGCACATTTCCCCTCCTAACTTCAAGGAATTAAGAAATTAAATGTCTCCACATGCCTGGAAAGGAAATGGATGAGCACCTGGAAATTGTGAGCCTAGGTGGGCATTTGGCTGTGGGGAGGAAGGTGAGGCAGAGCAGTGCAGGACCAAGGCACCACAGTTTCTTATCCAGACTGTTAAACTAGCTCTCAGCCAGAAATGTAATCTTCAGTCACAGACAAAACTGGTACCTGTGATTCTTAGGCCTTGATGGGATAAAGACTGATTTGCCCAATCCACATCCCTACGTAAACCAACAGCAAACACAGACTCCCTGGAAAGTGCAGTATGCAAATAAGAAAATATTGATGAAACTAGAAAAGAAGGGCTGACCAATCTGACCGCAGATGACAGTGAAAAGCGCACATATGAGGAGCTTCACATGGCTGCACTGTTGAAGAACGCTGAAAACAACCAGCAGGATCTCCCTTCCAGGACAAGCCTTACCCAAAAGGGAAAAATGCCCAATAAGTAAATTTCACACTGCAAAACCACAATAGACACAAAGGAAAGGAAAGGCCCTTGTGAAAGTGAGGGGTGATGAAACAATGAGCAGATATGGGTAGGTGATTCACCACCTTCTTAACCATCACCACAAGTCCTATTAAGGTAGAATCACCATGTCACCTCAAAAACTTCCAGGAAAACTAATTTTCAACAAAAAATGATCCATGAAAAGTTTCAGGTCCAAATCTCAAAAAAGGGAAAAAGAAGTGTGTGCAACATCTCCGAAGACAGCTAAAGCACAACTGAATACACACACACACACGAACACAAGAATAAATATAACAGAAAGAAATGTAAAGCAAGGAATAAGATAATCCCAAAAATTTAAAAAAAAAAAAAT